GGAGACTGTAAGCTGCTCTGAGACCCTGAGTGGTATAAATCCAATCTCTTCTTTTCTTCTTCTCTTCTCTTCAACATTCTTGAATGTTAGTTGCTGTAGATTTTCCAGGTTGTGTGTCCAAGACCACAGCCACACAACCCGGAAAATCTACAGCAACTAGTGAACTCCAGCCGTGAAAGCCTTCGACAACATATTTGTGAATGTTGTAGGGCTTTCTTTTGGCTGTGCGCCTGCAGAGTGCAGGGGGTTGGACTAGATGACCTGCAAGGTCCCTTTCAACACTAACATTCTATGATTCTTCTTCTCCTTTCTCTCTTCCGCCCCATGGAATAGTGATAATGTGGTTTATTTAAGTGCCATTCTGAAATTGTTATATTGTCTGCAGTTTTAAATTGTTTTAATTCGAATGAATGTATTCTGCAGTAACTATTGTTCACCGCCCTGAGCCTTGTATGCGGGGGAGGATGGCCAATAATAGTTGAATTAATTAATAAATAAAAATAATTCTGGGAATAAGCCTTCATGCACACGAAAGCTGATACCCAGAATCAAACCTGATGCCCAGGTGCCGCTGGACTCAAACTTCCTTCTGTTGCTTCAGACCAACACAGCTACCCACCTGAATGAAGTTTCACATTAGCCTAAGTTCTGTGGGTGAGAGCTAGGGAGCGCTGACTCTTTTCAGAAACTAAAACTGAAATAAATTGTAAGTCCTGGAGATGCTTCAGAGATTACAGTTTAATTTTTATATATGTGGTCGTTTATGCCAACAATGCTTTTTGGAGTACAGTATGGAGAAGCTGGTGCCCTGTCCCCTAGGAGCATACAATCTTAGGCTGCAGCCTTGTGTGGAGGATTTGCATTGTAGGGTCACGCTACAGAGTTGACCCTCATGCATTGCTCTGATGAATTCTTCTCTGTTGTATGTCTCTTGTGGGCATGTTCAAGATCACTTTACTAGGATTAGTTTCCCCCTGGAACGCTTCTAGCCACCTTATTTGTTTACTTAACTCATTTGTACCCTGCCTTTCTTTGGTGTAGTGGTTGAGAGCGCAGACTCTGATCTGGGAGAACCGGGTTTGATTCCCCACTCCTCCACTTGCAGCTGCTGGATGACCTTGGGCAAGCCATAGTTCTGACAAGAACTGTCCTTGAAAAGAGCAGTTTCTGTCAGAGCTCTCTCAGCCCCACCTCCCTCACAGGGTGTCTGTTGTGGGGAGGGGAAGGGAAAGGAGTTTGTAAGCTGTTCTGAGACTCTGAGTGAAGGGCGGGGTATAAATCCAATCTCTTTTTCTTCTCTCCCCAGTGGGGATCCAAAGCAGCTTACGTTCTCTGAATCCCAGAGCCAGGGGGCAACATCAGGGGAAGGCCTCAGCCTCTGTGCCATGTTGTTGGCCATCCAGAGGAGCTGGTTGGCCACTGTGTGGGACAGGGTGCTGGACTAGACGGAGCACTGGTCTAATCCAGCAGGGCTCTTCTTAGGTTTTTATCAGGGGAAGGCCTCAGCCTCTCTGCCCTGTTGTTGGCCCTCCAGAGGAACTGGCTGGTCGCTGTGTGAGACAGGACTAGATGAACCATTGATCTGAATCAACAGGGCTCCTCTTATGTTCTTACGTTGTTCTCTTCTCCTTCATTTTATCCTCACAACAACCCTGTGAGGGAGGTTAGGCTGAGAGAGTGTGACTGGCCCAAAGTCATCCGGCGTTTTGAACCTGGGTCTCTCAGATGCTAGTCCAACACTCTTAACCTCTACACTACGCTGGCTTCTGATGTTTCCTTCTGGCCTGGTTAAAGAGTGGTTGTGGAATGGATTGCCTACCCTTTCAGTGCATAGATACGAGTCCAATAGCGCCAACAAGTGTTTTTTGGTATAAGCTTTCAAGAGCCAAAGCTCCCTATCTAACGAAGGGAGATTTGGCTCTTGAAAACTCCTACCCCGAAAATTTAATTTGCCTTCAAAATGCTACTGGGCTCAAATCTAGCTGTCGCAAACCAGCACAGCTGCCCTTTGAAACTATCTTTCAGTGCATGCTTACTGACGGTGTGAACCCTTGAATCCATCCCGTGAACATGGATCTGGTCGTTACCCCAGCTCAGCCCGTGAGGTTGTTCTCATGAGGTCCGTGTTGCATTTGGCTGTTTTCCTTTGCTTTGTATGCCCCCTTTTTGAGTCCTGGCGTAGACAACTGGGTCACCTCAGAGCGTTTCCTGAATGGCAACCTTTCCCACTTCTCGGTAGCCGCGATTGAATTCTCCTTCCCGTGGAATCACACACCGTGCGTTCAGTGTTCCATTAGTGTATCTCCGAATGAGATTTAAGAAATCAACTCCTTGTGGTCTCCTTCATAAGGGTTAGTCTTCTCAAGCAAGAGAAAAAAACCCCCACCCACTCGATTCTCACACATTTTCTCCCCCCTGATAGAATTCCTTGGCTTTTTAGGGATCTCTGGCAGGCAGAATTCCAACCGGTGTAACTTCTCCAGCATGCTGTTGAGAACTGCACCTCCCTGAGCGTTTGTTTTTTGCGCCGCTGTTGTAAAGGCACCGGAGCCCTTTCTTCCCAAAAAGTGGCAACCCGCCTTTTCTCTTGGGGCCGCTGTACAACGCCGCCGTGAGCTTGTCCTGCGGCCACCTTATGGCAGCAGCGGTGTCTAGTCATCCCAAGCGTTGAGGCGGTTTCAGTTTCCTGGCCGCCTCACCCTCAGTGGCCTCAGTATCTTGCGTCTCTTTTGTGGGAATGTTCAGCCCATCCGCTTATCCTTATGTGGCTCCCCCACCCCCCCTCCCCTCTTAGGTGTTAC